GTAAATAGGTTTCATTCATATCTGTTACGTAATTGTATGATTGAATGAAATAAAAATTACTTCATGAGCAAATAGAAATTATTTTATACTTTTTAGTGCATTTCGAAGTCGGTGTATTTTTTTTCTGAAAATTATTTTATTCGAAGTCGGTTAAAAATAAGGATTACTATATTTCCCTGTCACGTGGGCCACTTCGTTCGACAACGGATACCGAACGATTTTCGATGAGCCGCTTGTGTCGACACCCACCATGCCGGTTCGGTCGTAAAGGGAAAGCGGCGTAAAGGGTTGGCGGAGGGTGCGCGGCCGATTTCTCAAGAAATCAGCGGAATTTAATGGAAGACACGGCGGAGAATGAGTATTATAAAAGGAAGTCGGGCCGCAGGAGTCTACGAATAGATACAGGGCGTCTCACAACTCATGTAACTCCCGGAAAGGGGTGGAAGAGGATGTGATTCTGAATAAGATTTCCTTTTGCAAAAATAGGGTTTGAAGCTTCGTTTTTGAATTATTAAGCAAAATCACGGACCAGCGAGAACTACGTGCACCCAGAAGCGAGGGCGATAGCTTCGAGCCTTGCAACTGAGCGCGATTATCATCAAGTGCCTATGCGCCGGAACAGAGTAAAGTTTTATTAAAAAACCCTTACGTCAAATCTCAGTTAAATAATGAACAGAACAGTTGCAAATAATATTCACATATTCGTTTGTTATGAGTAACAAACAGAATTAATTATGTGTAATTAACAGAAGTCGAGCAAATGAAATTTCTGTAACTTTAAATTTACATAAAACCATTAAAATAAGCCTTACCAATTAAAATTAATTAAAAATAATTCTATTTGGTTGAAAATGGATCCTTGTGACTACATCGTTTTATCGATCGTAATTATTCGTAAAAATAATACTCAACCCACAATAGCTGATATCGCAGTCGGTTTATTATCACTTTTTATTATCACTTTCTACTGTAATATTTTGTTGCCACTTTTCACTAATTTCCTAACATAATAACGATGGATAAATAAGCGAATACGCGTGAACGATTATCTGGAAAAAACTTGTGTCATGTTTTCTTTTTAACGTTTCGCTCCGAACGTTGTGTGCTAAACTGGCGATTGTGACTCCAAATGTTTCGAACCTAAAGAAAGCGAGAACAACATCTTTGTTCGTTCAGACCGTCGTGTCAAAGGATTATAAAACAATTAAACGGCTCCGTTTTGCTCGCTGGGCGGTCGCTTCATAGGCATCCGAAAAAACCGTTGCCCCTTTCCCTTTCTAAAAGACAAAAATGATTTTTGCCTTTTTCTAAAGAAAGGCATACTCTCACTTTTGTTTGAGTGTCAAACGTCCTTGTTGCAAGGGATTGTTGTCTAAATTTTCCGTCGAAGATGTTCATCGTGTTGCGTT